TGGGCGGTATGGATATTTGTTTTTTCATGAACGAATATAATATGCGATGTATATTAGTTTGCGAAGTAATGGATATTGTGTCTTTCATCAAAATTAAACACACTATCAACTCCTAACACATAAGGCTTGCAACCTTAGTTAGGGCTGCCCACGAGGGCCCATGGACCGAAGGCCTATGAAACATTAATAGTAGGAGAGTGAGTGTCTTCCAGACCCTGATATTAGTCTGTTTGTGATTTCATATATTAGCTTGTGTGGTTGCAATATTAGTAAGGGTATCAAGGATATTTGTTCGTTTAAGGGAGGATATTATTTCTGGTGTGGATAGATGTTAGTCTGGACGCCACAGATATTTCTTTGAGAAAGGAAGGATATTTGTTTTGTGGTGAATGGGTATTTGTCTGGGCGGTATGGATGTTTGTTTTTTATGAACATGTATTTTATGCGATGTATATTAGTTTGTAACTATTAACATGTGACCCCTATGGTCACTATTTCCATGTGAACCTTGTGCTAACTATTCAAATGTCATATTTGTTTATTTAAGCATCTACCATCACATTCATCAAGTATGGTTTCTAGTATCACGAACTTAGTACTAGTAGGAGAGTGAGTGTCTTCCAGACCCTGATATTATTTCGTTTGTGATTTCGGATATTAGCTTATGTGGTTGCAATATTAGTAAGGGTGTCAAGTATATTTGTTCGTTTAAGGGAGGATATTATTTCTGGTGTAGATGGATGTTAGTCTGGGCGTCAAAGATATGTGTTTGAGAAAGGAAGGATATTTGCTTTGTGGTGAATGAGTATTTGTTTGGGCGGTATGGATGTTTGTTTTTTATGAACATGTATTTTATGCGATGGATATTAGTTTGTAACTATTCACATGTGAACCTTATGGTCACTATTCCCAGGTGAACCTTGTACTAACTATTCAAATGTCATCTTTGTTTATTTAAGCATCTACCATCACATTCATCAAGTATGGTTTCTAGTATCACGAACTTAGTTAATCATATTACACCAATTTATGGTTTAGGTTTTATCGTTTGGTGATTATTGTTTAGGGTTTTGTGTTTTGTGTTTTACGGTTTAGGATTAGTCGTATATGGTCGCATATTAAACTGGTTGGTGCGGGTATTTGTTGTTTTATTAGTTGATATTAGTCTTGGCTTTAATGATATTAGTTCATAATGTTTGGATATTGTTTTATCTCCAATAAATATTATGATTTTTACTAGTGGATATTATCTTTTTTTTTAAATTAATCATGGATATTATCTTAGTCAATCATATTACACCAATTTATGGTTTAGGTATTCCCATGTGATTCTTTGTTTATTTAAGCATCTACCATCACATTCATCAAGTATGGTTTCTAGTATCACGAACTTAGTCAATCATATAACACCAATTTATGGTTTAGGTTTTATGGTTTGGTGATTATGGATTAGGGTTCAGGGGTTTAGTGTTTTGCGTTTTACGGTTTAGGATTAGTCGTATGTGGTCGGATATTAAACTGGTTGGTGTGGGTATTTGTTGTTTCATTAGTTAATATTAGTCTTGGCTTTAATGATATTAATTCATAATGTTTGGATATTGTTTTATCTGAAATGGATATTATCATTTTTACTAGTGGATATTTGTTTTAATGAATCATGGATATTATCTTAGGGTTTCATTCCAAACACAGCAATATCAAGTAATCATTTAACAAATATCTAGACCTCACAAAACAAATATCAGGGAACTAATATCCATACATGGCAGAGTAATGTCCTGATTGAGGAAAAAAATATCAATACATCACATAACTAATATATGGACAACCAATTACATACTAGAATCCATATCATCAACAAATAGAAACCCCAGATACCCAAGTCTAATCCCAGCTACATGGGCGTTATAGTGCCAAAGTAGGAGGTTGGCCGCAATGAGTTCTCCTCGTCTTCCATTATGCAAAATCCCTCAAGCACATAGAAATATCCTGTAAGCATAGAGAAATATCCATTAAAGAGCAGACAAATATCCAAATATGGAGGACAAATATCCAGGCATGATATTTTCAATATCTGGACAGCACATAACAATATCCACGTATTAAAAAAGTAGTATTCCAAGCATGCTAACTGTTATCCACTATGAAAGAAACTAATATTCTAGATCTACAAATCGAATCCCAGATCTCAACCAAAACCAAGAATCCCCAACTCGACAAAAAAAAAATCAATGAAACCCTAACTTCGTATCCACAAACAAAATCAACAAATAAGGAAGGAGAAGAAGCGTACCTTAGTATGTGAAGTTGTTCTTTGATCAACGACCTTCCCTTTGAAAAGCTTCTTGCCCCTTTTTCCCTGAATGAAAATAGATAAATCGCCTTCAGAGAGAGAGACAGAGAGAGAGAGAGAGGATACCGTCGCCGTCGTCTTCTTCCTCACCGCCGTCTACAAAGAGGATTTTGGTTCGTATTGAGAGAGGAAGGAGGAGGAAACAAAAAGATTTTTGAGGAGAGAGAAAGAAACTGAAAAGTGATGGAGAAAAAAGAGGAGACTAATAATTTTTTTTTTTTGAATTTTGAATTTGTGGGTCTCTTTTCTGAGTTGGGTCATGGGAATGAGACAGCCGAACCGGTCAGCTACCCTCCTCCTCTCAAATACCCAAACTAATCATTCCCAACCGTCGGATCTTGGCTTGCCCACATGGTACATGGATACCAATCTGTCCCTGTTAGTATATATATCCCTGTTAGCACCATAACTAAGCTGGTTGTTCGCCGGCAGCTCTCGCCGTCCGCTTCCCCTTCGGCCGAGTTTCGACCAAGGTTGTCAAACCGCGGGTCGACCCGGACCCGGACGAACTAGTGGGTCATGGGTCAATGGGTCACTCGTTTTAGCCCGGTTTAGCCCGGAAATATGGAAAATGTAATTATATTATACTTATCCTGAATCCAACATAAAAAAAATGCAACACTACTTCAACTCCAACACACTTAAATAACATCAACTTAAATTCAACATAGTAAAAATTCAACAACACTTAAATCATTCACATAACATCAACTTAAATCCATCATAGTTAAAAATTCAAGGCGAAGGCGGAGTCCGCAGAAACGGCGACGCAACGGCCAACGGGGCTCAGGAAGAGCAACCCGTTGACCCGCTCCAACGGGCTAACCGGCTGGGCCAACCCGGGTCTGACCGGGTTTCTCCGGGTTTGACTATTTCCGGGCTGACATGAAAATGGGTTGGTATGACCCGTTTTTTTGGCCGGGTCCGGGCTAATCCGGGTCGACCCGCGGATTGACAACCTTGGTTTCGACAGAGTGTTTTTTCTTCCCAACTTGGGTTTGGAATGATAGGGATGAAATCTCTGTTCAGTAACCATTCCATTTCCTGTTTTTTCATTCCATTTCATTTATTTGGAAATGGAAACGGAAAAAAGGGTTTACTTTCCATTCCCATTCCACTGGTAATAATTTGAGGAATCAAATAGTAAGAAATAGTACTAGTTTTTGGGAAGCACAATTTCTTTTGCCCTGTTTAGTAACCATTCCCATTCCTCTTTTGTCATTCCATTTCATTTATTTAGAAATGCAAATAGAAAAAGTGTTTAATTTCAATTCCCATTCCATCAGCTTTTATTTGGGGAATCAAATAGTGCTGAATAGTAGCAATTTTCGGAAAACACATTATTTTGGTTTCAGGAATGGGAAACAGACGGATTTCTCTCCTCTTTCTCATTAATGAGATCCATACATCGAATCCCCCAACCACCCAAAATCAATTTATTACCGGGTAATTCTGTAGTGCAGTCACTGTAGCGGTGCAGTCTATATAATACCAGCTATAGCCGACCAGGTCTTTGGCATTTCACGTTACTGGGTTGTGGAAACAAGCAAAAGGCATTTTCAATTTTTTATAATTTAAAAATATTATTCAATACTTATCATAAATGTTGTCGCAACCGTCCCTCCAGGGGTCCGCGTGGGGTCGCGTTCGCTTTTTGGGAGTCGCCAACGATCTTACTTAGAGTGGATCGAACACTCATCGGTCGGCTCTAACCTTAGGGTCTGAACCGGAATATGGTCTACGATTAAGAGATTCGGGTTCGGGAGTACGGTTACGTGCGGGGAAGTGAAATCACACCCTACGACCCCCTAAATCGGTACTACATAAGTTGATAAGTTTTTGTATGAGTTGGGTGTATTTTAGTAATTATGTATTTTTAAAATCCCAATGGGCCATTACTATATTGCTATTTCATTGGGTATAATTTAGCTAAACGTCCATTGACGTATTAGTTTATCATTACGTATTTTAGGTATTTTTAGGGCCTTACTTGACCACTAAAGAAATTAAATCGTATTAGTTGTAATTTAATTATACGCCCACTAACGTAAAAATTTAAAGATAAAATTAGTTGATTAGTTGGACTCGAACCTTATCGATTGCCTACGTACCCGTTAGACGGGATCAAAGTCCACGTAGTTCGTTGGGAACTTTGATCGTTTTAGTTATAACTTTTACCACGTTCCACTAAACGTAATTTTCGTAGTAAAGATTTTGTTAATAAAATTTACATAGATTATTATGAGGTTATGACGCGGAAATAAAATGATTTTAGTTACCGAGAGAAGATATGACATATTAAAAAAGAAGCAAGAGAAACTTAATCCGCATTCAACATTTCGTATTAAGGATTTTTAAATGAATAAAGATTAATGGGATGTTTACATGTATAGATGATGGGCCAGCAGCCCAACTGGCTAAGGCGTTAGTTGTATAGCACGTTAATGTCTGAGTACGCGGGTTAGAAACCACGTCTCAACAATTTTTTGGGATTTCGTTTTTATTTCGGAGAAAGGGGAAGGATAGTGTCGTAAATACACAAAACACGGTGGCATGGGTACGTAGTTTTTAGGAAACCCTAGGGGTAAAATCATCGTTTTAACGGTCGGGCTTTATATTTATCTCTAACCCTAACCCTAACAGCCGCCGCCTCACAACCTCATCACCCTCATCTCTCGCCTCTCTCTCTCTATCTCTCTCGCCTCTATTCAAACGGAGACCGAAAAAAAAGCCTAATCAAAGCGCCGCCGCTCAATCCTTCTCCCTCGTTTTGCTTCTCCGAACCAGAAACCCTCTGGTGTCTCATCCCACAATCGCCGCCATTCCTCACCTCCCTCTTTCTCCTGCCTTCTATCTAGAAATCGCGACCGAAAGAAAAGGAGGAAGACCCGACCTTGGTCTCTCCATCTCTTCTCGGCCCTTCTCTTTCCAAAAAGAAAACAAACCGCCTCCTCCCCTCTGTGAACAAAATTTGCCTCTCTCTCTCTCTCTCTCGGGTAATAACGAGAGCGAAGGCGAATGGAAAGGCGGCGACGGGAAGACTAGCGTAGCCTCGACGGCGACGACTGATTGAGGTAGGGCATCTTGCATGTCGATTTTGGGGCTTTTTGTTTGTGTTCCTTAAGGTTCTAATCTGGATTTTATGTTGATTTTTGGATTTTCAGGGGTTTTCGAGTCTCTGTTTTCGGTGGGGAGGAAGAGAGGCGACACGAGGCGGTGACTACGGGCTTCGAAACCAGCAAGGGCGGCCTCAGGACAGACAGACAAACGGCGTTTAGGTCTGCATTTTTTGGTTTTATTTTGCTCTCTTCGCTTTAGATCTACACTCAGTGTTTTTTTTTTGTTGGCAGATCTGGGAATAGTAGTCGACGGAGACGGTAGCAGAGGCTAAAGATTTGGTGAGGATTTTTCCTTTTTTTATTTGATAATGTCTCAGTTTTTGGTTTCTAATCTGCCTATTTTATTTGATGCAGGGCTTGGGGAAGTACGGTTTTAGGTGAGGTTCCTCTTAACCTTGATTGGTTTAATTAACTAAGAAGGTTAACTATAAAAAAATAATTAATTTGTACATCCGAATTTATGGAAAATGGTATGGTGTTTTAGGCCTTAATCGTTGATCTTTCGTTGCTTGCTAATCCAGTTTTGGTTTCGGCAGATTCTGGGTTTTGGATTTGATAGGCCAAAGTTTAAAAAACAGACTAGGTTTTAACCAAAACAAAAACCATGCACCTATGTGCTTTGATGAGATATGCAGTTTGATTGTATTTTGTTTTAAAGCTATGAAAATTAAGTATATTTCTCTTGCATGATCTAAGTAGTAAATGGAATTAATTTTGTGTAATGAAGATGGTAACTGCCACTGTTGACATCTATAAATCGCTACAATTGCTTGTGATTTTTATTAGACTAATGGTTGATTTGTGGGTTTTGAAATCTGAAATTTATTGCGTTTATAGTGTTGGAGTGTTAACTTTGTTTCGTAGTCAAAATGGAAAATATATGGCACAAATAGTAGATCTATAGAAAGTGATTAATCACTATTAATGGATAGCAAGTAAGATAAAAAAAAACAAGTAGGTAAATTTGAACGAAATACTACTGTGTAGTGTGTATAATCAATATGAGTAGCTGATATATTGTAATGGAGAAAAAAGAGGAGAGTAATAAATTTTTTTTTGAATTTTGAATTTGTGGGTCTCTTTTCTAGTTGGGTGATGGGAATGAGTAGGGCTGTTAGTCGGTTCGGTTAACCGCCACAAATAAAGAGCTGAAATATGCAATTGTAACCAATTGAGTAATCGGTTAGTCGAAACCGCCAACCGAAAGTCATGGTTCGATTTGGTCGGTTAGACTTTGACCGAAATAGAAGGGAATTAAAAAAAACTCCCCACCCTATTCTGGATCCTTCCCACCGTCCTATCTCCAAAGACAAAGAACAACTTTCTCTCTACTCTATCCCTCTCCGCCTCTTTCGCTCTTTGCTACCCTCCCTCTCCCCTCACCAAATCTCCATCTCTACCTCTCTGCTACCTTTTCCCCTCACAAAATCAACACAAAAAGTCAACATAAACTTGGAATAGATGTTGCCGTGTTGGATCTGGCCGAATTTCTCACTCTGCGGCGACGACGACGAAGGTCGACAATCGACGGCCGCGCCGATGATGGATAGCAATCGACGCCAACGAGGGTTGGCAATCGATGCCGACGAGGGACGTTGTGGATGAGGGGGTAGGTGGGGGATGCAAAGATGAGTTCGGCCAGATTCGGAGAGAATGGTCGGCGAAGTCGGGTGGGGAAATTGTGGATGTGGAGGGCGGTGGTGGCGGCCTGGTGAGAGGCTGGAGATGGAGAGGGAGAGAGGGCCCATGCGGGGTGAGAGAGGGAGTTGAGAGGTTTGTCGGTTGCAGCAGTGCACCGAGTTTGATCTCGGTTAGAAATCGGGAACTGACGGTTAGTCAGAAGCCCATAATTAGTAAGATAACCGAGATTTTCTTGACGGTTTTCGGTTCAACCGATTAACCGGCAAATGATTATTAGCCCTAGCAATGAGCGAGGTGAACCGGTTAGCCCTAGCTATGAAAATTAAGTATATTTCTCTTGCATGATCTAAGTAGTAAATTAGTAAATGGAATTAATTTTGTGTAATGAAGATGATAACCGCCACTGCATTAATGTGAGTGAAAAATCTAGTTTCGTAGGACGGCCACCTTTGTATTTTGGCTGCACAAATCTAGCTTCCATCAACATTTTCTCGTTTTAAACAAACTCATGTAAACATACCTTTACTAACCTGATCTACATATGCTTTGCTAACATATCTTAGTAATAATTATATATATATATATATATATATATATATGTATATGTATTCCCTGTTATAATTTGTAATAAGTTAGTCCTAAAGGTGAGTACGTCCCTCTAGTTCAAGTATAGTTGAATTCCCAACAAGAGAATCCATTTCCAATCCTCATGATAATAGCAAAAAATAACAGACTCAGATTCATTGCAAACTCAGTTTTAAGAGGCTATCATAGAAAGATGTTTTCTTTCGTTTTCTAGGGAACACCTTCAAATCCGATCATATATCTTATAATAGAACCTTTCGTTTTAAAGACAAGGTCCTAAGTAGAGGCTATGTTTTTTTCTATCATCCTTAAAGTACAGTATAATAATCAGGAACACAAACTTTCTACAATACAAAACATATTAAACCAACGCATACTACAATAGTTTCTTCAAATATGAAATCATTAGCAATGGTTAAGACTTTCAGTTAGCTCTGAATAGTTTTCAAGTTTATCAAACATTGGTTTTTCATTGGTAATCCTGATAAAACTTTTGCTAGATAAACCCCATGAAGAACAACTTTTTTCTTCCATTCTAGAATCACAAGCAGAGGCTGTGATTTTCGGTTATCTAAAATTATTCAGAAACCATAAGCAGAGGCTGTGGTTTCTATCTATCTTAAAATCATTTCATAGTTAATAAACCCAGCAAAACAAACGATTTACTAAATTTGTCCATAAAACACCAATTCAGCTAGCAGATTAAGAAACTAATTCCTAGCTAATTAAAACCCAGAACCTAAAGCCGTTAAAAACCAAATCTCATCTTCAATTTTACCTTTAAATCGTATAAGGTCGTGAGATGGGAGAACATCATCCAGATCTCAGTCTCTAATCTGCATTCCAACCCAATCAGCAGTGTTAGATTTCAATCCCGAATAAACTAACCAAAGAAAATCTAATCAAAACCCATTGTCAAACTCACCGAGAAAAGGAACCGAGGGAGTCCGGCGGAGTCTATCGCCGACGGCAACGGTTGCCTCGGTGGCGAAGCCCACCCTCCTCCTTCCTCTCCCTCTAAGTCGAAAACCCAGAAAACATGAAATTATCAGAATCGTAAAACATTAAAAAAAAAACAAATCTAAAAGGAGGCATGCATGCCGTCTTTACCTTTATCCTGAGCGAACCCATTGATTTAGGGTCGTCGTGGTCTGGTTCTCTGTCCCACGCCGAGAGAGGAGAAGCACATCGGAATGGGATAGGTTTTGTGGGGTCTGTCTGCTCGAGGTTTGGAGATGGAAGAACCAAAAGGTTCTTTCCTTTCTTTAAGCTTCTGGGTCGGTTATGGCCAGCGAGACGAGAAGAGAAAGAAGGCGATCTTTTTCTTCCTTTCTTTCGTTTTCGTCGAGTTTACAGCTGAGAAGGGAGGAGAAGGGCCGAGAGAGTGTGAGGGCGGCGTTGGTCTGGAAGAGAGGACGAGAAGAGGAGGAAGAAGGAGAGGGCGGTGCTTTGGTGGCTAGGGTTTTGATTTTCTCTTCTCTGGAGGAGAAGAGAGAGAGAGGGGGGTAGAGTGGAATCGAGAGAGAGAAGGCGGTCGCTCAGTCTAGGTGCCGATAAGGGTTTCGTTTAGAGTTTATATACCATGCCATTTGAAACGACCAAATTACCCTTAGGGTTTCCTCAATATTACTCTCCCTGCCATCGTGTTTTGGTGAAAGTTCGAAACTTCCCTTCCCCTTTTCTCTAATATAAAACGAGAAACAAAAAAGTGGTGGCAGCAGGATTTCGAACTCGTGTCCTAGCGATCGGGGGTGTTGTACAACTTGCGCCTCAACCATTTGGGCTGTTGGCCCATCATGTGTAAACATAATCATTTGTTTAATTTTATTTTTTTTTAAAATCCAAATACGAAATGTAGAATTGCGGATTAAGTTTATCTCGTTTATTTTCTAATACATCAAATCAAATCTTCTTTTAATAACTAAAATACTTATATTATATTTTCATAATTTCATAATATCAACTTAAATTTTATTAACAATAAATTTGGATACGAAAACAACGATCAGCGGAACGTGGTAATAATAACATTTTAAATCATCAAAGTCACTAACGAACTACGTGGACTTTGATCCAGTCTAACGAGTACGTAGGCAAAAGAAAGGTTCGAGTCCAACTAATCAACTAACTTTATCTTTAAATTTTTTTACGTCAGTGGGCGTATAATTAAATTACAACTACTACGATAAAATTATTAAATGGTCCAGTGGGACCCCAAAAATATAAAATAATTACTAAAAATACACCCAACACATATAAAACTTATCGACTTAAGTAGTACCGATTTAGGGCGTTGTGGGGTGTGATTTCACTTCCCCACACGTAACCGTACTCCCTAACCTGAATCTCTAAATCGCAGACCATATCTCGGTTCTGACCCTAAGGTTAGAACCAACAGAAGAGTGTTCGATCCACTCCAAGTAAGATCGATGGCGACTATTAAATATGCCGACGCGACGACATCGGACCCCCCGGAGGGACGGTTGCGACATATATTATAATGACTAAGTTGTAATTTAATAAAATTTGAGATATCAAAATAGTATATTTTTAGGCAACAGTAACTATGCTTCAACTTTATATATAATAATATCTAATTGCGAGATTGCTCAAAAGCAATAATAACACAACATTCCCCTACATAAGCATTCAACTTTTCCCACGACCCCCTTTTTACAGTCTAAATCCACAAACCACCTAAGCTTGTAGAAGAAAGCTTGAAATTTTCACTTCTATCCTCATCTTCTTATGAAGTAGTAATCATTTGCTAAACAAGTAATAGCAACACAATCAATGGACCATCAAAGCCTTTAGAAGAAAGCTTGAATTTTTCAACTTATATGTTCATCGTGTTATAAAGTTCAAATCATTTGTTGAACCGTGCATGAGCATTTTAGGTTTTCCTACGAACCCATTTCTATGCTCTAAATCCACAAACCATCTAAGGCTTGCAGAAGAAAGTTTGACACTTCTCAACTTCCATGTCCATAGTGTTATCAAAATCTAACAATTTGTTCGATTTTCCATGAAAACGTTCCAATTTGGAATTGAATCTCAATAACCCTGCTCTTGAATGAGTCTCATAAGCATAAACTCAAATCCTAAACTATTCACGTATATAACACCGCATAGCTACAACCCAGGATGGTAA